AAGAGACTGCTTGGCGTGATTCCTTTACACAGTTTTCTGCCAACAATTTGCAAGAGGAAAGTATATTTAGCAATCCAAGGCACGCCAAAGCCTTGTCAAGAGAGGGGAGAAAAAAACATACACACACACCCCACCACACTTTGAATGTGTGGAATAGCAATTAGACAGTTTCTAAGCAGACATTTTCAAAATGCACCCAGGCATCTAATAAGGGCACCTGAGGCACATCCACAACTCTGCCACACTCCGTGCCTCAAAAGACATCCATTAGGGATCAAATATGCTGAAGAACATTATGTGACCGAGAGCAACTGCCCCTTTTCAAAGCAGTTGCTGGAGCCAGTTTCAAACATGTGACTCTTTCCCTGAGTTACTGGAAATACTAAGTCTCCTGTCACCACATGTCACTTCAGAATATYTTTTGAGGAATCACTTCTCTAAACAAGGCATGTTACAGAGCTGGGAAGCACAGAGATATGGCAGCATCCCCACTTCGGTGGAAAGTTGCACCACCATTCACCAAAGCAGCAATCCCAGAGGGAGGAGCTGGTGAATATTTGGGTGAGATGAGCAGCAACTGGAAGCACATGAAATTTGATAGCAGCTTGTAGCCCATTAAACTGGCACTTGCATCACACTGCAGACGTGGTTGACTCTCCCACAGGCCAACACTGAGCTGCAGAGGCAGCAACTAACTGCATCCCCAAAGCTTCTTCCTTCCAGAGAGACCTAGGAAATATTTCCAGGACAGATTATATCAGCCAAGGAATGCAACTCACCTGCATTGGTCACGCTTGTTTTTGAAATACCGCTGTAAACCTCTGTGAGATACAGCATAGGGGAGGAAGAGGGAGCTCAGGAAAGCAACTGGTGGCCCTGGATCTCAGACAAGGATGAAGACAGCCAAATAAGTTGCAAGGCTGTTTGTTAAAGTTAGAAATTGCACAAGGATCTGCTCCTTCAAACATGGCATCTGTTATTTAAAACCATCAGGTTTCCTGAAAGCTCCTGATAGGAGGTCATTGAACATGGCCCAAGTTGACACCATCTCCAAGCCATGACACACACAAGGGTCAAACACCACCTGTGACTGAGGTTTGGCAGCCCCGTGGGTCCCAGGACCCAACAGTCCTTCCCATGAAACATAACACAAATACAAATGGTGCCTGTCTTTCCCCCCACGCACTGTGGTACATTAGTTCATTACAGATCACTTGAGATTCCCTACAGACCAAAAAGGCTTCTAGTGAGCAGGAGGGAGCAGGAAGCTCAAACAGGGAAAAGTTCAGGCATTTCTTCCCCTTTCAGAAGCAGACAAGTGCTTAACTGAAGGACATCAGAAAGACAGCTGCCCTCAGGCATTTCCATCTTTGGTTTCCAAGGGCCACTGAGTAGCCCAAGCACCTGCCTGTCACCCTGATAATACCCACCAATTCCCTTGGTTGTATCCTTGATACTGCAAAACAAAACAAACAAGCAAAAAAATACACGCATGCACATACAAAACCCTTGCAAGATGGACAAATTGTTCTGAAAAAGCTGCTCCCTTCTCATTTGCTCTTCAAAAGCACCTGAGGTCAGACCTGCTCAGCCACATCTGCAGAACAATCAGTCAAAGTCTCCTTTTCCATCAAACCCTCCTCCATTTCCCAAAGCTGCAGCAATGCCGATGGATAAGACGCTACTTTAAGCTCAAACTTTCAGGACAGGTGCCAGCACTTTGTACCATCCTTGTACAGAGCCTGACTTGACATATTCAAGTCCCTGAAAAAAAGTTCAGACTTAACTACAAGGAAACAAAGTAGGTATTAAATTTGCTGAGAATTTGGGGGGGGTTCAGCCTAGATTTTCAAAGGAAACAACAAAATTTTTGATGATCACCTAACCAAATCATGCAGCCGACAGAGCAAAATCTGCTAGGGTAAATATAGTTGCCTTTGTTCTGTCAAAACCCTTCAGCTCCTCCTAAGAGCTGCTCAAAACGCCCCCAGCCCCATCCTCCCCATTACTTGTCTCCTGATGTCTCCTCTCTTTTAATGGAAAAGCACTGCTGTGGTCTGTCATGGGCGAGGAAGGAAGAGAAAGGAGAGAAATACTGAGCCAAGAGGCCAAGCAGCAGGCGTGCAGGTGAGCAGAGCGGGGAAGGAAAGCCAAGGGAAAACGGGAAGGAAAGCGAGGGGGAAACGGGAAAAGCAGCAGCCTCGCGACCGCGACTCGCAGAGCGGCAGTGTCGCCCGCTGGCCGCTCGCAGCATTGCCGGCAAACGCGGCTCCCACCGCAGCTGCTTCCATCCTTCCCAGGCCCTCCGTCTTGTACCTTCGTCTATGGACAGCCCTTGAGGTTGACTTTATACAAAAGCCCATGCCCAAGAGAGGTGAAGGTACCACAGCCCCTGAGACCAAACCCCATCCTGATCTTTTGTTCCCATTTCCAGCCTGCCAGGCTTCCATCCCCTACATTTATCAATCTGGAAGAGAATCAACATCTTCCTCAGCAGCAGCAGAAGTYACTTTAAATGAAATACAACCTATGCAATCACCCTGAGTTATCGAGGCAGTGAAGATGCATTCTCTGCACCAGCTAATGAGCTGTTAAGTTCACAGCAGTCGGATAGGCTTTAATGAGAAGCCTGCACTGTAATTAGAATCACTGCATTAATGAAGACACCAGAAATGAGCACAGAATCAGATCTCCACACTCAGGGAAYCGGAAAGAGAAGGGCATGGATGAGCGATCCAAGAACACAAGCTCAAAAACAAGAAGGAAAATACAAAATGCTTCTCRGTTTGCAGAGGCACCTTGTCCGGGGGTAGCGTGTCCCTAAGTGCAGCTGCCGCTCAACCAGTTACAATCTCAGAGACATGAGATGCACYGAACTCCTCCAGAGAACATTAACCATCTTGCTGCTAAAGGACTAATATTAGTAGCCCTAGAACTTCAGAAAGAAAACAGGTCACCCTTAAGCAGGAGATCAGCATCTCTCCCGAGGAGGGAGCAGCAGTTTTCTTTGGCAGACCAGCAAGACACCACTCTGACTGTCCCCCATCAGGTGAATCACCCCCCTGACTCCCTTAACACTACTGATCCCTGCAACGTTTTGCTCCAGAAGGAACATCTGATACAGATGGCCTTGGACCTCCCCTTCAGCTTCAATAAAAATATAGCGTTGCCCCCCAGATCCTCAAGGCACCAGGTCTCCCTCTGCCTCYRCTAGCTGCACATTACCACCACGAGGAAACCATGAACAGGAGGTGTCTTTACTTTTGTGTTCCTAGCACACGGTGTTGCCCTTGCTCAGAAACTTCCTGGTCAGCACTCTCAGCGTGGTGTACAGACATGTGGCCAAAATCCCCTGAACTCCCTCAGCTCCCAGTGATCTGGCAACTAGCGTCTCCTCTCCATCTCTTTCCTGGGGTCCAAGCRGGATACAAAGCTGTTTTCTTGGCATCCAGAAATCCACATGTGTACATTCCTTTGGATATATGAAAATGCTTCCACAGGGAGCCACCCGCTGCCATGGGCATTGCAAGGCCCTGCRGTACAGGCAGGGCGAAGGGAGCCCTTGTGAGGGCGCGGGCTCCCTCACACAGGGAGCAAATTCCACCCCAAAGGCGGGATCCCCTTCCCTCACACYCGGCATCTCTTCTGCTGGGGCTGCTCCAGGACCCACCCCAGCAGGACAAGGAAGGAGCTGCCTTGGAGAGGGCCGCCCAAAACCCAGCAGTGCCCCAGAGCGCCTCTCCCCACACACCCTCCTGATGCAAACTCACCAGTCCAATGCAAGACCACAATCCCCCTTCCAGCTCTTTACAAACCAGTTTGGCTTTCCCCATCAGGCACCCATTTCATACACTTTTTTTTTTCTGCTCAGAAATGTTTCAAATATGACAGGCCAATATCCCTAAAATCCCCCCAGATGCCACARTTGACACATGTTGAAAGCTGTACACATGCTGCCCTTGCCACATCCTCTTGCCTCCATGCTCCTGACATCCTGACATTCAACTGGAGATGGAAGTCACGTTAAGTAACTATAGCAGGTAACATCAGACACACAGCTTATTGTGAACAACGCTGGGCACTTGAGTATTTGATTTTGCTTAAAAGAAAAAAAACCCACCACTCAGCAACACTGAAGCCAAATATCTGAAATACTACCAGAGCAGCATACTTTTTTCCAGCTTTGGAAGTAGTTTTCTCTGCCAAAATACGTTCCGAATGCATCTTTCAAAGATAACCGCTTCATTAATAGCATCATTGCTGTAGCACACGACCACCCCAAACCCATTTAAAGACAGACTTGAAGCCGCTAACTAACTGCAGCCACTACGTTACCTGCTCACTGGTTTTCCTCTAGAACTGTTTTGGTATCTTTAGCTTGAAAGTCTCGAGATAAATTGCAGAGAAAAATTAAAGACTGGATGTCCCAGTAGCCGGTTCAGCATGACCTTTTACCATTTCACATCAGTATGGACTGGGGGCCTGAACACACAGACACAGGAGCCTCCTCATCAGGAGGGAGTAGAGGAAGCCAGAGCAGGAAAGCAGTGACAGCAACGGAGCAGGTAGCTGCTCTTGGCTCTTTCGCCAGTTCAGTTTCCAAGCCAGGCTCCACATCCTGCAGCCTGACCCCAAGGACAGGAGAGGCAGGTATATTCTCCCTTCACATCTCTCTGCTCCTCTCATGTTTGCTCTCCTTTCCCTSAGGCACAGAGATGAAGGATTTATCAAGGTGTTCTCCCCTCACAGTAGGGGAAGATGAACGGTTGATCAAGGTGTCCCAGGCTTCTTCACAGCTCTAAGTTTTCCTCCAATTCATCAAGCAACAGAACCATAGCACACCATTAAACTGAAAAGTCTTTTTTTTTTAAACAACTTAACCCGTAACAAGAACTAATCAACCATCAAATAAAAGCTATCAGTGCACCTGTAATTGTACCTACAAACAGAGCGCAGTATAAAGATGGAGCTTTCTGCAGGAAAGAAAAGAGATGACACCATTCCAGTCCTTATTTTATTGGTCAATGGACAGATCTTACAGTGATGGAAAAAATACATTTTTTGCACAAGGAGAACAGGATGCAGCTTCTACTGGTCTTTTAATTCTTTCAGTCTTCTGATCGCAGATTTGACTGTCACTGCAGAGGTGGTACTGGAAGAAGAAGCAGCAGAGTCATTTGCACATGCAGCAGAAACACATCCCACCCCAGCCTTGCTTTTTAGACAAAACATTATTCGTTTTAAATAGTTATCGCTTGATTGCACTGTCAACAAGCAGGGGGATAATTCCACTTTGATTTCCATGACAAAGTGCAGGCCACCTATGTCTAAGGAAACACACACCATTTTACAAGCTGCATTTGAACCCGAATTACAGTATACACATAAAACCCAACACGGAGGTGGGCTCCAATTCCCRGCCACCACAAGACATCTCAAACAGCAAACACAGACACAATATCCAAAAACCTGCAGTAATAAAATATGCACTCGAAAGATGTATAAGGACTTAATTAAGGATCAGAAAGAAAAATAATCYTCAGGTAAGAGATGACATCATTATGCCCCGTGATAGCCATCTCAGCAGGGCCATCCATCCTTTTTGCTCCTTCTCTTCCAGCACCATCAGAAAAGTCATATACCACACAAATCCATACCACGCAAATAAAATGTTATGTGGAAACAAAGAAGCTGCTACATTTCCTTACTTGTAAGTCCAGGCACCACCAGCAACTGTCTTCATGCAAGAACCACAGTGCCAGATACCCACAGCCTTCCTCTTCATTTTAGTCTGTAAAAAAATAAAACAAAAACAATAACTACATGCTCTCCATCAGCTCGAAATAATAGCATTATACTCTAGAACTACTGCAAAGAAACAAACTTYGGATGAGGATTTCAGCATCAAATAATACAGCCTTGACTACACAGCAAGTTAGAACATGCAAAGATCAATGTATTTATTCACACCATTTAGAACATTACATATTTCTAAATACAATGTCAAGAAGGGGAAAAAAAAGGTAGTGGAATTAGACTCAAAATAAGACAGRTAAAAAATAGTAGTTATTACTACTTAACACCCATGTTACTAGACAGACATCCACAGACAGACATCCACAGATTGCTCTAACTTGGAATCTCTCATAGGATATCGAAAGAATGAGTAATAGCTATCAAATTCCTTTCACCTACAGAAGACTATTATACTGCAAAAAAAACCCAATACGTTGCCTTAATACGTTTATGTTACTACTGAAAATACAATTATCAATCTAAAATMTTTCAGATGAAAAAATTTTCGACACCTTAAAAAGAAACAAAGCACAAGTGGAAAGTTTTCTCATTTTCCAGATACTTAAAGCCACCTACATCAGCAGTGTCAACAAAAATTAACTCGGACGAAAAAGCAGCTGAGGGGCTTCTCAAACTATCAAGACTGTAATTCCAAACTGAATTTTAGTCACGTATAAAAGAATAAAACCATTCCTCCCAATCGAGATCTATACAGCACACAGATACTTCTATAGGCTATGAAATAGCTTGCCACCAAAAAAAGGAAATAAAGGCGGAAAAAGGCAGGTTTTCTGCTTCCCCTGAATAAGCTGCTAGGTTAGKGGGGCAGAAGGCAGCGGGGCCGCTCACCTTTCCGCAGAAGGAGCAGGTGTACTTGGCGTGCTGGCTGATCTCGATCTTCTTCACCATCTTCCTGAGCGAGGCGCCGTAGCGGGTGCCGTACTTGCCCACGATCCCGACCTTCTTGGTGCGCTTCGCCTGCGGGGACAGCGAGCGCCATCAGCGGCGGCGCGGCCGCCATGGCGCCGGGGGTGCCGCCCGCCCCCGCCCTGCCCCGCGCCCCCGGCCCGCAGCGCCACCAGCAGCTCCGCTCTGCCCGCGCCGGGCCCCATCACGGCGGCGCGGGCGCGGATGGCGGCGGATGGCGGCGGATAGGCCGCAGCGATACCCACCATCTTGCCGGCGGGCCGTAAGAGGAGGGCGGCGCTGCGCACGCGCGGGATGAGGSGGCGGCGCCGGAAGGGCGGGGATGGCGGCGCAGGAAAAGGCCGGGACGGACTGCGGATCTATGGGCGCCTCGCCTTGAGGGGGAGCAACAGCAACCTTTTTCTTTTTCCCTTTTTTCTTCCCTTACCCTCATAATTCCGCAAGCTAAGCCTCTGATAAACGGTGACACCTCAGTCCTCCACGGGACACATCCTCAGACAGGGCCAGGCTGCTGTGTGGGGTCGCTGCCCAAGTTGTAAAACAGACCCGTATCAGCCCCAGCTTCGGCCTCTCTACCCAAGGAGGTTAGGAAGAGTGAACACAACCACTGTTTCCCTCCCCTTTTTTATTTATTATTATTTTAAATTAAAAAAAAATCAAGCTCAGAAGGAAAAAGACTGAGTCTTTAGAAGGAAAGAGAGGGCATGGAAGATTATTTTAAACCTTAAGACAGCCCAGGCCACAAAATAAAGATTTTAAGCTAATCAGATAGATGGTATCAGATCTCCTTGTTGGTCACTAAGCATCAAGCCAAGCAGCTGTAAAGCCGCCTGGCCCCCCCAGGCTYAGGAGTGGATTTTCAAGGCCCAGACAGGGCCCACAGACCCCCAAAAAACATCGTCCGCTTGTGTCATGAACACAGAAATAAAAGGGCCAGGGCAGCACGGACCAGGGAGGGAAGGATTCCTCATGTGCCCAGAGCAGACATGCACGAGCAGCAGGCCCTGCGCCACCACCAAGCCACAGTGCTCCTAACAGGATTAACCACCCGTTAACCTCCCTTAAGAAACAACCTGGCTAGGCTCAGAGGTTCCTAACGCTCAAAACCAGCCGCAATTCATTGCATGGCACAAAGAGCGGCACGGACTGCTGCGCTCAGCAGGTGAAACCACCCCTAGGCATTTGCTGTGGGGCAGCAGCAACGCTCACCTCCTTGCTCTGGGCACGGGAACACACACAACGTGGCCTCCTTTGGGGTCGGTGATGTCCCGCTGTCACAGCCACCGCAGAGAGCCCCTTCACACACCATCCTGGCGAGCTGCCTGTTCGTACTTGTGAGGTGCTCATGGACAGACCTCACGTCCCCTCTCGGCTCTTGTTTCAAGGTGGGACAGGCTCCCTGCGGTCCCGACCATCTCYGGCAGCCCCTCTCCAGCCTGAACGAGCCCTTCTGGGAGGTGATGGACCAGGGCTGCGCTCCAGATGAAGGCTCAGCAGGGCTTTACACAATGGCATTTATATCTCCCTCTATTGGGTGGAAATCTCTCTTTCAATACATCCTAGGAGCACAGCTGCCCTTTTCAGTGGCTCGTCATAATGGTGACTCACAGGATATATCTTCAAATACCAACATATTAAAAGGGAAAAAAAAAATTCCTTTGACTACTTGCTAAAGTCACCCGTCAGCCAACACATCCAGGACGGAGAATCTACTGCTGTTCTCCAGTCGGTATCTACAAAGTCAGTTCTCTGCACCAGAACAGTGCCTCATCGTTGCCTTTGTCAACCAGCGCTACAGACAGCTCTGCTCATGCCCAAATCCAGCTCTCCCAGGCTGCAGACATCACCCAGCACTACCACATAAGAGCATGTTTCCAAGTGACTCTGATAAAYGCAGATAGGCTAGCACAGTTGTTTTGTCCATTTTCCACCTTGAACTCTTGTGCAAGTGGCCAGTCTGGCCATATATACTGCAGCAGTAGCTCAAACTGCTCCATTCCATTGCTGAAGTTCTGTTGGCCATTTTATTTTTTTTTTTTTGTGGTCATCCTTTCTAAGAGATGCCTGTCCACTAAGCAGGTGAGAAAATAGATACATGTGTACAAGCAAATAAACAGTCCTGGTAAGATGCTCTGAAACCCAYGCTCTGCCCCAGCAGAGTAGTAAGATGGCTGCAGTTCTGAGTTCATCCAAACTCAAACACTCCAGACTAGGTGGTCGTGGTTGCCATAATAGTGTTTCCTATATAGCAGATTAATCAGCATATTTTTTGTGTGTTGCACCAAGATACCAGCACCAAGGTACCCTAATGCACTAGGTCATGCAGGAGAGTGTCTTGCCTTCAAAGAGCTCCCAGAACATACAGAATAACAAACTAAGATGAAAGAACTCCAGAAGGCATCTTCCTTGAGATGCAAAGCGTGAAGGACCAGGGAAACCACAGGYGTCACAGAACTCTCCTCAGGCACTTCTGTCGACTTCACTGGGCTTTAGGCAATGCCGAGATATTCTGGCTATACTGTCCTGGCTATATCCTCATCATACTAATGAGAAACTAATAGTGTAATTGGGCTAACAAAAGCATGTARAATTTTTCCAATCCCTTGATGTAATGAATAAAAGCACTTTTTTTTTTCTGTAAGAGATTCTTTCTCCTTTTTCAATCTAGCAAGGATAAAGGGAATCTCAAGTGTACTTGAAGAACTTCTCTAACTGCAACAATCCTGCTGAGATTTTATGGGTTCAACAATCCTGCTAAGATTTTATGGGTTGTTATCAAAGAGGTGCACCTAGCATCCTTCTACTAGGATTTATCAATATATGGATAGGAAAGAATGAATTTATGAGAAGCAGAATTCTCCAAGGGTACTTTCTGCAGAATTCAGAAAAAAATAYATATTATTTTTTCTGTAGCTTTACAAGGAAGAAAAGAACAATACAGGTATACAAATAAGGTTTCCTTTTTTTTTTTTTCTCCTTTCCTTCCAGTAGGCAGATAGCAACATTTCTTATTTGTAACTCAAAACAACCTTCCCTAAACAAAGATCACATGTTCTAGAAGGAGATTAAATTCTTCATGCTAATTAAAAAAAAATGCTTAGAAACACTTAAGAGTATTGCCCACTCACGTGTTTCTTGTGMTACCCTTTCTTCACTTGTGCACACATCAAAGCACCTTTTGGATTGTCATGAACACACTGCAACAGCCTCTACCCAGCACTACTGCATGGACAGTCTGTAGGGCATTTCCATGACCACACTTCCTGTAAACAAGAAAATCAAATCCTTTAATGCAGGAATAAATAGCCCAATCACATTATACTGTAGCACAAAACTTTTGTTCCTCTAGAGTGAAAGAGGGGCTTTCTGCCAGCATCTGGTTTCCGTTCATAATCAAGCACCCTCCCTACCTAGCATGCTACCTCCTGGCGTTCAGGAGCTAGATGCAAACCTTGAGCTTGTCTCCCCTCCTCTTCCTGCCCCCTCCACAGATTATGGCCATAAAATATCCATGAAATTACAGCTTCTCCCTTACTCCCCAGTTCCATTTGCATGATATTCCATGGTAGTCCATTACCAAATATTTTCCAGTACTAAGATCAGAATGAGCAAATACAAGAATTTGGGATCATGTTACACTGCACTGGAAAGGGTACACAAGAAATCAAAGATGACTCTGCAGATACCTCATAAAACTACTCATGACACACAGAGCCATTTGTCTTTACATCCATAGTGGCCTCTGTAAGTTTTGCAGAGGCAACACTGTGGGAAGAGGGAATCAGACTACTTGCATGGGTTGGGATTTTAAAAGGGATGAAAAGCAGTTTTGCTCAGGTGGCACAGAGGCTGACAGTGAAATGAAAACTACTGAAAATCAAATACAGGCCTTTTAATCACTGCATTAAGCAATGGTGCCGCTTTTAGCACTCTTGGTGTAGCCTGYACAGATCTGTAAGGAAAGGGAATAACAGGTCCTAGGGCACCAGCCTAAATGCCATATGGAACAAGTGGTGATTCACCTGTAAGTAAATATCATAGGAGCTTACCTTCTGATGTATATATGGAAAAGCTCAAAGGAAATGTCCCTGGAGAGATCAACCCTGTAGYCACTGTTTATATTGAAGATAAACACTAAGCTTAAGGTCCAAAGGGATWTGAAATTCTAAAATGGAAGAAAGCACCCAAAGCTGTGGAGCTGTGCATTAGAAGAAAGTTTAATACAAGCAGCTTAGTTCAGAATGATATTTTTTTCTGCTCTTACAAAGAGAGAACAGAAATCTGCATACACCCCTTTCTCCTCACTCTCCTGTACACGCACACACCACTTCCCTGGATGCAATGACTGCCAGTCAGTCCAGCGTTCACCCTCCCAAGAGGCAAGAAGTACGAGCCATAGAGCAGGACCTTGGAGCAAGATTTAGCAGATGAGGCCAGAAGCCACCATGCACAAGAGACATGGGCTTAACTGGCAAAYGTTCAGCTGTCAGGCAGCCTTCTCTCCTAATCCTTTGAGATGAAACAGACTAGAGATACAGGAGAACTTACTCAAAGTCATTTTATTTCTGCAAACTCAAAAAAAATACATTGATTTCCCTCCCTGTTTTTAAATAAAAATAACCTATCTTAGCTGCCTTTTGTTTTGTCGCCACCGCTAAACTTTAAAAAACTCTTCAATACGCCGTTTTTTGGGTGGACTCGCTGAACATCTCTCTCCTTCCATATTCTGTAAGGCACTTTGAGGATCAAAGTCAAAGCAAGCATCAGCTGCCTCCAAAAGCAAAGCTGCATCAGCGTCATCTCTGTTCTCAGAGAAGGTCCTCTCGAAAAGGTCATAGATGGTCTTCTGCTTTGGATCTGACTGAAAAATTAGAATAGACAGAATGTGCATATGCATTGCCAAACAAAAACACAGCAAGAGACAGTAACACAACATTCCCACTTCCGTTACCCCTTTCCAGATTCACTAGCCAACAAAAAATTCAAGGATAGAATTCCAGAAAGGACATGGCTAAGCTGGGTGCTAGGCTGCAGAAGGAATTTTGTCTTGTCTGAATCTGAACCCCATATAAAGTCACACACCATTACCTTCCTTGTTGTGGAAGAGATGTATGCAAAACACCACGGTATCTTCAAAGAGGAGGAAATATCCTTTTAAAAGCACCTTCTCTATATAAACTTCTGTCACAATCCCCCAGATTGATCACACGTGATCAATGGCAGCAGGACTTACTCCCTCGCAATAGAGATCCTCCTTCACCCCGT